AACATATAAAGTAACTAAACACTCATAAATACGTGATCTTGGTTACTTTAGGAAAATATGAATTTGGTGCTAACCCATGAAATTACAATTTGTACTTTACTAAGTCGTCGGTGGAGCGTGTGTGGTTAACCGACACACTAACATGGACTAGTAAGAGTGGCAAAGGGTAACTTAATTTTTATCATCGATTGGTGGAGCGCATGTGGTTAACTGGCACATCGATTAGGTGATAAAAAAAATTAGGATACCAAGTTACTTTGCATGGTTATTCACACCTTATTTGTGATCTTCAGCATCCCAGTCACAAACTTGAGAGGACACAATCGAGATTCGTTTTTCGTGGTGGAAATTGGTAAACCGTCATTTACCTACCTTCAAATATTTTATAGCTTGGATTACGGCATCCCTCTTTTAAGTTATAAAATGTTGTGTTGGGTCCTAGCCTTAATATTTCATATTGGGTGTTATATTAAAAACTTAAATCAACTAACTTGAAATTTCTCCCATTGTAGATGTCTAAATCAGAAAACTATGATCTTCCCAAATCTCTTGGAACAAGCTTTCCTAATGAAGATGATGTCCTGGGATTGGATCATGGAAATCTTACTTCTCTTCTTCCACCTTCTCCAATTATTCACCCTGACCCACAAGCTCAAAGACTTGAAAAGTTAAGGATCACTCAAGTCCTATTGGATAGCAAACACAAAGATGGAAGGATAGTGTGGGCACATGTTTTAGAGATGAAGGAACACATTGATAGGCTGAGAATGTTGGGTATCATTTTCCCAAGGAAATTGGATATTGACTGGGTTCTTCAGTCACTTCCCAAGTCATATAGTGAGTTCCTTAAAGACTACTATGTGACAGATCACAGCATGACCCTAATATATCTTACCTATTTGCTAATTGCTACCGAATCAACAATGATTTGGTGCAATGGTCAAGCAATTTTGATTAGAAAGTTGGCCTCTCAAGCAAGCATGGACATTCCAGAAATGATTCCTTCTCCTAAAGGAAGGGAATTGGCCATGATCAAAGGTGTTGATCATACAAGAAAGGCTAGTACTGAGATTGCACCAAATGAGCTTGTGTGTTTCTATTGCCAAAGAAAGGGACATCATAATCGAAGATGTCGTGACTACCTGAGAACTTTAATCATATTGTGTGGTTCTGCTTCAGGTAAGTCCACTATCTAACTCTGTTAAGTTCCTAATTGTTGATTCTTAATACATGATGTAACTAGGTCGCATTTTGATGTTTTGTAGGATCAAGCAAAGGGAAGGAAGCTTAAAAGAAGAGTATGTTGAATCTAATCACGAAGAAGGATTTCGATCGCATGTTTCGAAGATCAGATTATTGAGCTACTACTTAGGAGTTATGATAGATTGATAGGAAATATGTAATAGCATAGTTTCACTTGTAATTGCATTGTAAGGAAATGTTTTTTCTAGTTTTATAAATAAATAAAATTTTGTTTTTGTTTTATTTTATATCTCATTGTAATGACATTTATGAAAAATTCATGTTTGTATGTTTCTAGAAGTATTGGAAATATGAATTTGACTCGTTCATTTGTAGTAGTGTCTAAATTTACCAAATAAATAAATATTCTCATCACCCAAGTTTCAATTGGACAGAAACTTTGAAGCATACATGTTGTATTGTATGATGAATGAGAATTTTCATCTTTGGAAAAAATTAAGAGTAATTCATTATTCACCTGTACATGTTATTCAAGTGAAGGACTAAGGGATCGAGTACACATTCTTGTGCAATGGTCAAGTCCACCACAAAGATAGATAAGACTATTCGTCATGATCTACTAAAGTTTAGTATATATGGTTATACTCACAAGTTTAAGTATAATTTTAAAAACATTGGAAAAGTTTCAATGTATGGTAGAACAATTGAGAAGAATCAAATTAGGCAGAAAGATAAAAGTTTCTCAAATCTGAAAATATGTGAGAGTACTTTAATATCATGTTTTATGATCATCTTAATGATTAATAAACCATATCATAATTCATGTTCTAAGGATATCTTAGTGCATTGTTATGGCTAAGAAGAGGAGTCATGAATTGTTGAAGTGGTTAAATCAAGAAGATGAGTCCTACTTCGTTCGAAAACAATTCTTAGAGTCATACTCCAAGATTGTAACTTGAGTGACATATCTTCAAGAAGGTTTAAAACACTTGTCAAATGTAGAATAAAATTTTTTCTACTCTTGTACATTTGAAATTTGTAAGTTAGGATGTTATGGATAAAACAAATACCAACTACGGTCAATTGTGTTAAGTTTTTGTCTTGATAAGAATCCACACTAACTCTTAAATATTTGTTGCCAAGTAATGGTATTTGACAAAGACAAACTTATATGTCAAGAGGTCAGTGGGAGTCATAAACATACTGAAATAGTTTCAAGAACTAATAAAGAATAAAACATGTAGTTTATAACTAGCACACGACTTGAGATTTGTAACTTATCATGCTGACATAATTCTTATTTATGTGCCTATTCTGGTAAAATTCACTGTGGATGCGAGTTCTATAAGTTCTCAATTGTGTTCACAACAACTTGGAAGCAATGGTAGGGCCTTATGATGCCAGGTGGCACAAAATTAAGATTGAACAGGTTCAGTCCATATGAGTTTGAATTTTTCACTGACCTTGTCTTCTGATTATGGTTTTGACAAATTCACATGGATATGAAAACATACACCATAAAATCTAAGTTTCATAAGGTTTCTCTTCGATTCATGAAAATGATGGTGAAACGCTATCACTGAGAAAATTTTAAAGAGATAGCAATTGTGATGTTTGCATTCTCAAATCCGATCATGATTACAACATCCCTCTTCATGGTTTGAATTGTGAGAATGGAAAAAGGTCTAAACATTATGATTATAACATCCCTCTTCATAATTGTTTAGACACACATGTGAGCTATCCAAGGAAAGGTGTATGATTTTGAAAAGCTTAGATAAAGTTTTATCAAAGCATCTCGTATCAGAAATCTAAACTTTGGTAATGAAAGTCAATGAAGCGTCGATTTCTAGAAGTCCAACTGATTTCTAAGTACGTGTAAGAGGTAGTGGGAGCATAAGTGTTATGCTAGTAAGATAATAATTATTATGATAGTGTGAGCTTAATTAATTATGGTAAATATTGCAAGTTAGCAATGTTAATTATAGAAAACAAAAGTTTCAATTCGTTAAGTTGCAGGGGTTGAAAAGTTGTTTTGCTGTAATTAAGGGAGAGGAAATTATACTTCATATCAAATCTAAAAGCTTAGATTGTGCGATTTTAATCAAATTTAGTCATGATTACACTATTTTCGTTCTAAAATTCGATTATGATTACAACATCCCTTTTCATAATTCGAATTATGAGAACATGGAAAATTATAAAATATTGTAGCAAAAGACTAGTCAAGTATCATGTCTTTATGTGAGACATCATGAATCGTGTCTTTTATGCTTCGGATATAGGATAGATTGCATGTGTTATAATACTTATCCGTTCTAACTTTTCCAAATGCCTAGGGCATTAAGAGGGAAAAGGAAGTGAAGCAGATTTGACAAAAATGATTAAGCGACTATCAAGGACAATCTGAGGTTTACCTAAGATTGGTTTCTCGTGGATAGTTGGAAGTATGGTGTAAAATGTTGGAAAGGGACCATATTGACATATTCTGAAAAGAGGCAACTCCTGTTCAGAAGTAAGAGTCAAAATGGAAATATGGAAATGATTCCATAAGAGGAAGTTATTCTTAAAATTTGTGTAAGATTAGAAAAACTTAATGCAAGAAGGATCTTCAAAGGAATGTACTTTGAATGCGAGACTTCGTTTCCATGGAATTGATCTCCATTGGAATACTTTGTAATGTCTGTTGCCAAGTCTTTGTTACTTTTGTGCATAGTCATTACAAGAGGACCAATGCATATGAGTTTAAAATATAATAGATTATAGTAAATGACAAGATTTTGATATTCTTACATTTACGGTAAGGATTTGGGATTGTGAAATTTGCATCATTGGAATCATGTTCAATTGATATATTTCACAAAGTAAGCATCATAGACAAACATAGTGAGCATACTTGGAGTATGGCATAACTATTGTTTGGAAAACATAGTGTGAATGCTTGAAGCATGGGACAACTATTGTTTTAATTCAAGTATTAAGTTGTTTAGTTGAAACATTATGCAATTAATAATGTGTAATCAATATGGTGATTAAATAAAAAGTGTTTTATTTATATTCATAAGTTCCGAGACCATACTTGATTCGATTATTCTTGTGTTTCACTTTGTATATTTTGACTTCCCGAATAACTAAGTTATTCAAACCATCCACAGTCGATCATACTTTGGAAGTAGGTATTGAGGAAAGACTGTCATGAAAGGGTTTGTAGTTTGTCTAGGACAAAGTGGCTATAGTGTTCATGAATGCTCCTAGAATGAGATTCGAGTATTGGATTCAACCCACACTCATTTGAATCACTTCATGGATTTTATCACGAGTTATCATGAGACGATAATATCATATATTCTTCAAATGGAGACGTGTGAGTTGTAGTTGTGAGTTGGTTGCACATTTACATATGTAAACGCAACCAGTAACATGGTTTCTATAAAAACATATCATTGTGTTTAATTTGATGAGTAAGTACAAGCGAGCATTTGGGTTGAAGTTCATCCGTTGTAAATGGAAAATCATAAAGTTTTCCTGATAATATCACTTCATGGAACTGAGTGCAAACATCCGTTGTAGTGACTGCAAAACCATGTGCTTCCTGATAATATCACTTCATGGAACTGAGTGCAAACATGTTGTAAATGGACAATCATAAAGTTTTCCTTCACAGGTAGAATAGTTTGGCCTAGCTGCAAGTAAAATCATGAAAGAGTAATATTAGTCTAAGTGAGGCAGCATACAGCAAGCAAAATGCTTACCTTTTGCATCACTAACACATCCTTGACTGCAACATCAGGTTTATCCTATCCCATGGCTTTTAAGATTCTCTTGTTAGGCAACTTGCTTTGCAATCCACAAGCACTAGTTTCTTCTACTTCAAGTTTCCTAACTATATTTTCAGCTGCCCGTGACCAATAATCACCATTAAAAAAGGGCAAATGAGTTGCAGTTATCTTTGTATTCCCCTCTCCACTAGCAATAAAAAACTGATTGTATAAATTTATGTAGTCCATAAGAACACCATCTTCCACCCCTTTCTTTAGCATTGACTTGTACCTAAACATAAAAAAACTTGTAATCAGAAAAATATACTCTTTGAGGCATTTTACCAAACACCTTATGTGCAGAGACAGAGAGGTACCGCTATCGTAGCCTATCCTACTTTAGTGTTCTCTGAGTGTCTAGATGGCAGTAAATAATCTAATATTCTCCTTTTATAAGAGGACATTCCCATATATAACAGGTGGTGAAACCCTGTGTCTTGCAATAATCGAGGTATCCAATTTGATGATCATCATAACATAGGCAAAAAACAAACGATATACTTTTAATCAAGTTCACCAACACACAAACACATGTGTTCATAAAGTAAAGAAACAAAAAGTGAAAGAAGTTGAAGAACCAATATTTCATGATAAAAAAAAGGTCCGAAGAGATTCACCACTCACACTCTTTCTCTCAGGTCTAAAGTACTTTACAAAATCAAGATAGGAGATATACACACAGCATTGATTTGGGCCCCCACACTCTGATCCAAACTCCTGAAAACACATTCCAAACATGCACACATTCTAATATATGTCTTTAAACTTCTTTCTCATTTCCAGTTGTTTCTCAACAAACATAACTACCCTCACAACAAGCCCTTCAGCTCCAGGTACCTCATAGGGTTCAAATCCAGAAATCTTTTTCATTTCTTGTCTTTCTTGATTCAGATGCCTACACATTCTTTCCTCTATGTGATCACTCAGATTAGTTCTTAGAATATATTTTGCCTAGTGGAAGATACCGCGGGAGGAACAATGAAGACATCTTGCGACAATGCTAGAATATGGAAAAGAGGTGACCATGGGAGATGGAAGTTATGGCGAAGAAAAGGCTGTAAAAACTAAATAGAAAACTAGGTTTAAAGCGGGTTGAAGTTGAAGTAAGAAATGAATACTACTAGGGTTTACTGTGGAGCTTTAGTTATCGTAATCCAAGTGTACGGCGGCTCCATCATCGAAGGATTTGGGCAGAAGTGGTAAATATGAAAGATTGCTTGAAGTTAATATCATTCATACGACTTCTTGATGGTTTTGCCTCCTTCTTCGATCTCTAGATCTCGTGACGCCATTAGAAAGATGAAGGAATATCATAGGTGATTGATTATATTAAAGGTGTGACAATCAATGTCAGGAGGCGGAAGGAAGGAGCATCGATCGATAATTAGGGCAAGAGGAAAACACAAGTAGAGGATAAAAAAGAAGGCATGTTTTTAATTTTTTAGGGTTTCATTTCCCCCGCTATGAACGCGCGTTCTATTAAAATTTATAAAGCAACATCTTTAGACACCGCACATTTTATTATAGGTGCCGTCCATGTTTTTGTTTTGTTTGTTTTTTTTTTTTTCTGTTTAGACACTAATTTTAGGGCACGCAAAAATGCGTGTCATAAATCCTTTAAATTTTGGAAGAGATGACATTATTTTTTGGACATACATATTTGCGTATCATAAATCACCGGGTATGGTTTGCGCGTCGTAAAAGGTTGTTTTTTTAATAGTGGACATGCTTATGATGTCCACATTGTGATGACTTCTCAAATCATCTTTTAAGATTAATAGCAAGGCATTAACTCTTCGTAACGGTTAGGACCATTCCTAATATTCTTTTTTTCATAAATATTCTTCAAAATTCACTTCTCTTCATCATGTGGAAACCCACACTTATTAAAAAAGTTGTACTCTAATTATGATCTTCAAAAATTTGCACAACTTCTTTGTCCATTTAGCTCCTTAATTGCTTTACGTACTTTTCTTTCTAACACCACAAAAAAACTTTAGAAAACTAGAGAAACACATGATCAATTAGTTAGACATAAAATAAAAAACTAAAAAGTAAAGACTAAAAACAAAATGAAATCAAAAGATAAAGAAAATGCAAACTCCAAAAATATCTAGTTGCCTCCCGAAAAACACTTCTTTTTTAGGTGTCATGAGTTGGACTCCTTCCTACTCTACGTTGTTGAATTTGGGAGTGGAATATCCATTTACTCCTTTTTCTCCTTCCATTTTCACTTGTAAGATTGAACCCTTCTCTTGTAAGCCCTCTTCGAGTTCTCCTTCTTCTTTTTGTTGACATTGTCTTCATGTTTATACCTCACCCCTTTTCCTTTCTTCTTTATCATGTTTGCCTTTTTGACATCTTCCCTAGAGCCTTCCTTTTCAACCTCTAATTCAACCATGATAGTCTCCTTCAACTCTCCATCCATTTCTTCTTCTATTATCTCCACCTCTTCATACAAATCTTCTTCGATTTCATCTACTTTTTCTTTCTCTTAAACCTTGGTTGTAGTAAATTCAATCCCCTCAAATATCATAGGGAGTCGAGGCTTTTAACTTCAAATGCTTGACTTTTTTGACATTTGGCTCCTTCTACACCTTAAGTTCTCCTTCCATCATCTTTTTTAGTGCAACTAGCTCATTAAGTCTTCTTCCACGACATGAATCTTTGACACTTCATCATTTCGCTCTTCATAATTTACTTTAGGACTCATCTCAAAGGTTATATCATCATCTTCTACACGAAGTGTGAGCTTTGAGTCATAGATGTCAACTAGTGCTCTTGCGGTACTCAAGAATGGTCTTCCCAAAAAAAAAATGAAGTTCTTCATCCTCCTTCATGTCGAGAACCAAAAAATCAACCACAAAAACACATTTTCCTACCTTAACTAGTAACTATTCAATTATTCCTCACGGATATGTGGTTGAGTGATCCACCATTCGAATGGTAATTCTTGTGTCTTCAAGCTTTGGTAATCTGGGCTTTTGATAGAAAGAGTATGGCATGAGATAAATTATTTCCCCCAAATCGGCTAGAGCATTAATAGATGTCGAGTTACGATATTCATAAGGCAAAGTAAGTTGTCCTGAATCGCCCATTTTTATTGGTAATGATTTTATAATTGCAGCTCAACATAACTCATTAAGAACTATTTTTAGGCCTTTTCCAACTTCTTTCTTTTACTCATTACATCCTTTGCAAACTTTGGAAGTTTTGCAATTGATTTGAGGAATAGGGCTTTGATTGAAAGTGAAAGCACTTGTTCCATAAATTTCCTTTATTCGAGTTATAGACAATGTTTGATGGCTCAAGATAGGAATGGTAGTGATGGCTGAAACGATTGAAGAAGAGAATAACTATCTTCTACTCAAGACCACGACGTGGTGATCTCACCGCAATGTGGTGAAGCTTCACAAAATACTTCAGTTTTCAATCTTTTGACGCCAGGCTATTCTTGTTCCACATTTGACTTGGGATGACTTTTAGGTATTTCATTGGTCATTATTGCCTGATAAACAATCTCTCCTTCGATGTAGATTACCATGACATGAGATTGTGATTTTTAATATTGGTTTTTAGGTCGTAACCCTTCGTTGACATTTTTGGTTTCCCAAGTTAAGTCTCTATATTCTTATTTGAATCTTGATTATTTTCATATTGGCATCAGTAGTATTATGCCTCTTTATAGATGCTTCCATAAATCTATGGAGTACCGACTCAAAATCTATCTTTTTTTGGGGTGGTGGCTACTCTTTTTGATACACCTCTTTCATTTTGTCTATACTTTTCATCTTTCTGTTTCTTCTACTCTTCATAAGGTCACCACTCCTTAGGATTTGTCCCATCTTCCGTCAAACTTGTCACCACTTGAGTAGGACACTTGCGCGTTCTTATTCCCATTTTAATCGAAATCACAATCCTTGTTCAATTGTGGACCACTATAATTGTCACAACCAACACTTATGGCATGGGTTGATTAATCTAACTATGTAATTCGCATATCCATAGAGTCGAGCTTAGCTATTGTCCGCATAGTCTCGTTCCCTTTATCTCATTTTCCTCTTGTAACACCATCTCATGGATTGTGGTACTCTTGTGAGTGCTTTGCAAACTCTTCAATTAATTCTTTTATAGTTGCCGACTCCTTCTTTGTTAAAGGCCCTCGTGAGTCAGGAAGTTGTATAGTAGTTACATTCACTCTATCATAGAAGATGGAAACTTCTTTTTGAACATTCAATTCATGTTTAATGGCAACTTCTTAGCAAGCCATTGTATCTCTCCCAAGCATCATAAAATGACTCACCCGCCTCTTGTTGGAAGTTAGCAATCTTCTTTTTGAGCTTTGAGATCTTCTAAGGTGGAATAAATTGCTCAATGAAAGCATCACGAAGATTAGCCTACCTAGTGATGGATCATGGCTCAAGAGATCTCAACCACACATTTGCTTCACTCGTAAATGTGACCAGAAGCATCCTCAGTAAAATTGATTTTTCTTGGAACACTAGGAGCATGAAAGTAGTTGACAATGTATTTGACCTCATCAATGTCCTTGAAAGCATCCTCATGCTCTTTTCCGGTGAAATCTATGTCCTTGAGTATGGATAGAATGTGTCCTTTGAGCTCAAAACTTCTCTCGGCTGGTATCTCAGGTGGAACTAGACCTGGTCCATGTTCTTCATGTATCCTCTTCTTATAGTCACATCATCATTCTCGTAATATCCGCCATCTCTTCAACCTTGACCTTTATCTATCCCTTGTCTGAACTTCCTTTAGTAGATGACTCTAGCTCTTATCAAATCCCCTTTCTATCTGGCGTCCTCTCAAATCTTACAAATCCTCTATCTGATTGAGAAGTGCTTGTTCACTCGTTGACTTTCTTGTCTTTCTTCTGGTGGAAAGCGGATTCTAGGTCTTGAAGTGGAGGAAAAATATGAGTTTTAGATTCTTGGGTCATAAATCACTGAAACAAAACTAAAACAAAACAAAAATGCATAAAAGGAATAAAAATCATGTAACACTCTAAAATCATAATAAATTTAAAATTTTCTAAACCAACCATGAATCAATATTATTTACAAAAGAGTCATTGTCTCAAAAAGCATTATTTCACATCAGAGTTTTTGTCAAGACTCGGAGACATAAAAACAAGAAGTTGTGTATGATCACGCCTTTTGTTGGATAAGGTGTCTAAGTCCATAACTTATTTGGTATATACTTGACCCGACCGGGCATGGTCCATTTGGGTTGCACTTCACCCAAACTTTTTATGGATAATTTTATGAGAATTGTATACTACGATTTATTGATATATTATAAGTTATAATGTATTAATATAAAGTCATGATATTTAATTAGTTTTAATCTTGAATTAATTATGAATTAATTTAGTGATTAAAAGGAAGCCTAATTAAATTATGGGCTATTACATTTATATGATGTGGGCTAATACTCATTTGTTAATGGGCTAAGCTTATATGGAAGTCCATGGATGATCCATGGAGCTTTAACCCATGGATCCTTGGAAGAGGAAAAGACATGGTTTATTAGGGTTCACTCTAACCATCCACACTACATAAACAAGCTTATATGGGATGAAAAACCACCCTAGTGTGTGTGTGTGTAATAGTGGTGGTCAAATTCTAAGAGTTAGTATACTCTATTATATATTTTCCAAGTTTGTGGTGATTTGTGATTTCCACTTGAGGCATTCACATTATTGGTGTTTGGCTCTCAAACTCCAAGGAATCAACATTCAGCAAAAGGTATGTAATTCATCTAGTTTTTTTATGTTTAAAAGTACCCCATGCCATGCTACATAGGTTATAAACCTTTGAAAAATAATATTTTGCATGTACCTTCACTACTAGAAAAACAGCCTTTTACGACGCTCATTGCGTGTCGTA